TGGCGATATTTGTTCTTCTTAGGTCTCACACAACCATCCCCTGCAACTGCATCAATGTTATTTCTTATCAGATTGATATGTCAACGAGATAAGTGATGTGTTCAGTTTAAACATAACATCAATCATTAATTTAATCACTCACTCGTATTAGTGTCAGTTCAGGTGAACTGTGTTCACGAGCTCAGCGCAATGGTAAGGTGAACTGTGTTCACCAGCCCAGGGGTAACTAAAAAGTGTATCACCTGCTGTTTCAAGAGATTAGCATGGTTCAGTGACCTGAAACCTTTAAACAATATCTGCTGGCAAACTGGAGACACCCCGTTTCGGCGTAGCTGCTAAAACCGTTATCAAGCAAGTGATGTCTACTGGGTAGTAAAAATCCTTGGATGTTTGATGTTGTGACGACGGTGTTGTATTAAGGGAATAGGACACTAGTTTTCTACCAAATGTAAAATGTGTTAACTCAGCTCACCCAGGAAACGAAATAAGACACGTGTACCAGAATGTGAGTGAATTTGCCAGTTATGGCAAATGCACAATTAGACTTCAAAGTTTTCCCTACATTTCGTGGTGGAAGATACCTTTGTGTAAATGGTTATATGTTCATAGTGAAAGAGAGGAAAAGGGGAGAATGGATCTCGTGAAAATGCATGCAGAAAGACTGCATACAGATCAACACTCTCAACTGTCTTAACGACATAGTTTCTAAAATACCAAGATACCACAACCACGGACCTGTACATAACGAAGTCAAGGTAAATCTTTTCTACTGTAGCAAAAATATTGACAATTTTTAAAAAGGAAACTCAATCTTGAATATATTGTGTATTCCTCATTGCCTAATGTAAAGACTACATATTAATACTATGGATATTTTAATGTATACGTTTTACGTTTGCCTGCCATAGTGACGAGAGTGAACGAAGACCTGTATACCAGTCAAGCTTTTAAACACGACATGTTTTGTTAATTAAATAATGACCATGAAACAATGTTGATTCGCCACCAACAAGATTGATGTATACCGCTAAGTGGCTGAGCTGACACTGAGTGAGTTCGCTAATCACGTCGTTAATTGGGTCTTGGGGGTAGTAAATCAGTTCGCTATAGCCGTTAATTCGCTACTCACGAGTTCGTTATTCGCGTATAATTTTAATGATATTATAAAGGACTATTGACGGGACTTTTAAATTTGTTCGCTATATCTGTTTGTACGCTATATCCGTGTTCGCTATATCCATGTTCTACTGTAGTTTAAACATGTTTTCTTCGAGTAATCATGACGGGATTGGCAAACAAACATAAACATGCATGTCAATGTCGCTCCATAACAATAATACAATTACATAGATAGTGATGTACACTGTGTGCAAAACATAATGTGTGCAATTCATAATGGAAATCCACAAGGGCAATATTAAAAATATTGCATGCAACTTACTCTCTGGTGTCCTCCGATTAGTTAGACGTCCCAGACACAAAAGTTATGGTTGGTTGCACTCAGGTGCATAAGAATATATTAAGCGATATAATTAATAGGGATGTAATGATGCATCAAACTATCGATGAATTTCAATTATTCCGAAAGCAATTAATCGATGGTAGAAATGAAAAACTATCTATGCATCGATCTTGGTTTCAAGTTTCTTGTCAGTTATTCATAGGGAGAGCAGAGGAAGCCCCAAAACCCGTCGTATCCACCTCTGTACCTCTGGGAGTAACTCAATTAGTTACATGGGAAATCTATAATCCTGTTTTGATCAAAGTGAACATTATGAACACAAACTGTGAGAAGCCGAAGTCAATAAACATTAGTATTCTGATCAAAGTATTTCTGCACAAAAAGTAACAAACTCATAATTAGTGTTAAAATATACCACTAACCACTAATATGAAAACATCTCGTTAGTCTATGGGATAGGTCAGCCATATTGAGTGTACTTTGCATGTTTATTTATGTGGAATTGCTTCATGTTTCTATTTAAATAGGGGTTTTGGGGACGGGGGGTGGGGTGGAGTGTACTCCTTAAAACCTCGGGCGAAGAATAGCCGTGACGGGCAGACGGGAATTACAAAATAATTGATCACAAAATATTAAAACGAAACGGGCGAACCTGGGTAGGTACACCTCACAAGTGTGGGGTTGCCCACGATAGAATGTATTCAACAATGAATACTATAACGCCATACCGAGTGTCACTTAGAATAAAAACACAGTTTTGATGCTGTTTTGTGCTTTGTGAGAAGGTTTGACAATGCTCTTAGCTCCTGAGTGGTGACGTGTGACGTCCTGGGCAGGAAGTGACAGTGTATTGATTTCTTTCCTTAATTACCCAGTTGGGGCTCCCTAATTAACCATTATTTGTTCTGAAGCAGCATAGACTATTTATTTTATTTGGAAGTGGTTATTGGCAAATGTCAATAGGATTGACAAGACATATTTCAATACAGTTAAAGCTCTCACAATACTGTTTATGTTACAAGAATTACAAATTCAAAGTAATATTTCATATTCAACAATATCTTAATTTTGACTGTTCCGACGTGTATGTTTTGATATTATCTGTTCGTACACGCATACCATTGACGAGCCACATTTCCAATTGCACTGAGTTATTTTGCATGTTTTACGTTAACAAATTAATAAATAAGCTACAGTACTGGGGCTTATCTTGCTGTGATTTCTGTTCTGTTTTATGAATCAATGTATCATTGAAGCAGTATGTCAGATACAGTTTCCAACACAAGGTAGTACCTTTGTGTTGTTCTGTGAAGCCATATCACATAAAAATGATAGAACTCTGGATCATTCGCAGATTGTTGCGAAGCGTCATTTTTGACATTTTCAGTCATCACTCGATCCTGAACGGGATCACCAGTGTTATGCCCTTGGTGGTAAAAAACGATGCTTTTTCAGTGCTTCTGTATTCTCAAATCATCTACTATACAATATCACGTCATACTGTAGTTAGATAACTTGTTCCATGGCATTACTTCTAATGTTTAAAGTGCCTAGTCACTACATATGATGATGATCATGAGTTTAACGTCGGCTTCTGGCTGTAGCCTATAACGCCGACAGGGTACGTGGGAGCTAAAGTAATTAATATGTGTATAATAAGGGATAAACCACCATACCCCAAAAATGTAAATGATGGGGTGTTAACCTAAGTGAATTTTGAATGAAAACTGCTACAAACATGATAATAAATAAAAAGCCGTGATTAGGGAGGGAAAAGAAAAAAATAATGTAGTTTGATGTAATTAGATGAGAAGAGATGAGAAATAGAACTAAACTGATAGATATAAAGTGGGGCTTGTTAGAGTGTGTGTGTGTGTGGGGTGGGTGGGGGGGGGAATTGTATAGCATAGGGGGAGCTTATTTTGGAAACAGTTAAGCTGTTTATAATTAAATAATGGGTAAAGAAAGAAAAAGGTGTTAAACTGGGGTGGGGTGAGGGGGTGTTATGGGAACATTGAAGGGGGCAAGGCAACCTCCAAAACATGGAAAAAACATGTATTTTGAGTAAAATTAATATTCTCGCCCATGGGCCAACATATTTCTCGCCCATGGGAGATATTTTTTAATTTCCCTCTAAGTTAGTCGAATTAAGTCAAAATGAGTTGAAATTTGTGTCACGATGTTTATAAAGATACACTCATTCATTTACAACCTCCAAAACATGGAAAAACATGTATTTTGAGTAAAAGTAACTATTCTCGCCCATGGGCCAAAATGTTTTTCGCCCATGGGCGAGATTTTTCAATATCGCTCTAAATTAGCTGAATTAGATCAAAATGAGTTGAATTTTGTGTCATGATACCCATAAGTATACACTCATTCATTTATAACCTCCAAAACATGGAAAAACATGTATTTTGAGTAAAAGTAAATATTCTCGCCCATGGGCCAAAATGTTTTTCGCCCATGGGCGAGATTTTTCAATATCGTTCTAAGTTAGTCGAATTTAAGTCAAAATGAATTGAAATTTGTGTCATGATGCTTATGAACATACACTCATTCATTTACTACCTCCAAAACCTGAATTCTGATCGAAATTAAACATTCTCGCCCATGGGCGAGCGAGTTTAAATTTAAAGTTTTCGAAGAATTCTTTTTGCATTTATTCATCCTTGGCATATATTCATAACAACTGCACGTTTAATTTGGTCAAATCCCTCGTCAGAAAGTGCCCACAGTGCGGAGAGTTTCTGGACTTTTGTGAGTCCAGAATTAAATTGTGACGTGTTCATTTAATGTTAAGTTAAAGCAGTGCAGAATGCGAAGATACCATTTAATGTTAAGTTGAAGCAGTGCAGAATGTGTAGATACCATTTAATGTTAAGTTAAAGCAGTGCAGAATGCGAAGATACCATTTAATGTTAAGTTGAAGCAGTGCAGAATGTGTAGATACCATTTAATGTTAAGTTAAAGCAGTGCAGAATGCGAAGATACCATTTAATGTTAAGTTGAAGCAGTGCAGTATGCGTAGATACCATTTAATGTTAAGTTGAAGCAGTGCAGAATGCGAAAATAGTTCATATAGTGAACTGAACAGAGATTAGATGTGGGTTCAATAATGTCTTTATAGAACTCAAAGAATAGGAGTATTTTCGGAATAAGTCTATTGTTTTCAGTAGCTTTCCAGTATTCTTTGGATGAGTGTTTCTTAAGGTCACGAAGCTGTTTACTTGTCTCATTTTGATATTGTCCTATGCTTTTATCCATGCTTTTCTTATATGCCCTTGACGTTTGATATAGCGCATTCTATTTGATGGGGTGTGACGTGGCACATGTTTTCTTAACCTTATGGAATGTTGTTTCATTCATGTTCCTGCACTCAATATTGAGTCTGTTTCCTCTGTTTTCTCCTTATTCTGTTTTTGGACGATTCGCCCGAATACTCCAGACGCCAAAGGTTTTGCGTGCAGCGTCCACTAGCACGTGCGCAATGTCAGTTGCAGGCTCATGACCACATATGGGTCAACACCACATTCGCTTGCGTATTGTGTACGCTCAGTGAGGCGTGCAATACTATCAGTTTCTATATTATGGAAGTAGATTTCATATTTCTTGTTCTGATATCATGACGGTTTGCCTGTAGTAATGTTATCTTCCACTGGGTTTACCGAGGGGTAGACACTTTCATTGGTCATATTTCTGTGGGATTTTAAAATAAAATGGACATAGCAGTGGACATCTGAACGTAATGGTGAGTAGTCAATTATTTCAAACTTAACATATACATGTATACACATAATGGTGACGAAATAACATAATACACTGCAGATTTGCCTTTACATGTTGCTTTGCCCATTGCAATTGTTTTGTCTGAGCCTACTGTACCATTACAGATAAAGAGATTTAAATTCTTACACAGTTCTATCAATCTAATGACATCATTGTTAGCCCAGTCTTCATCTTGTGTGCATTTCTGGACATGGTGGTGTAGGGAGATGTACGAACTGTCAGACATGGTGGTGTAGAGGAGATGTATTAACTGTCAGACATGGTGGTGTAGAGGAGATGTATTAACTGTCAGACATGGTGGTGTAGAGGAGATGTATTAACTGTCAGACATGTGTGGTGTAGAGGAGATGTATGTATTAACTGTCAGACATGGTGGTGTGGAGATGTATTAACTGTCAGACATGGTGGTGTAGAGGAGATGTATTAACTGTCAGACATGGTGTGTGTGAGAGATGTATTAACTGTCAGACATGGTGGTGTAGAGGAGATGTATTAACTGTCAGACATGGTGGTGTGTAGAGGAGATGTATTAACTGTCAGACATGGTGGTGTAGAGGAGATGTATTAACTGTCAGACATGGTGGTGTAGAGATGTATTAACTGTCAGACATGGTGGTGTAGAGGAGATGTATGTATTAACTGTGGAGATCAGACATGGTGGTGTAGAGGAGATGTATTAACTGTCAGACATGGTGGTGTAGAGGAGATGTATTAACTGTCAGACATGGTGGTGTAGAGGAGATGTATTAACTGTCAGACATGGTGGTGTAGAGATGTATTAACTGTCAGACATGGTGGTGTAGAGGAGATGTATTAACTGTCAGACATGGTGGTGTAGAGGAGATGTATTAACTGTCAGACATGGTGGTGTAGAGGAGATGTATTAACTGTCAGACATGGTGGTAGAGGAGATGTATTAACTGTCAGACATGGTGGTGTAGAGATGTATTAACTGTCAGACATGGTGGTGTAGAGGAGATGTATTAACTGTCAGACATGGTGGTGTAGAGGAGATGTATTAACTGTCAGACATGGTGGTGTAGAGGAGATGTATTAACTGTCAGACATGGATGTATTAACTGTCAGACATGGTGGTGTAGATGGAGATGTATTAACTGTCAGACATGGTGGTGTAGAGGAGATGTATTAACTGTCAGACATGGTGGTGTAGAGGAGATGTATTAACTGTCAGACATGGTGGTGTAGAGGAGATGTATTAACTGTCAGACATGGTGGTGTAGAGGAGATGTATTAACTGTCAGACATGGTGGTGTAGAGGAGATGTATTAACTGTCAGACATGGTGGTAGAGGAGATGTATTAACTGTCAGACATGGTGGTGTAGAGGAGATGTATTAACTGTCAGACATGGTGGTGTAGAGGAGATGTATTAACTGTCAGACTGTCAGACATGGTGGTAGAGAGAGATGTATTAACTGTCAGACATGGTGGTGTAGAGGAGATGTATTAACTGTCAGACATGGTGGTGTAGAGATGTATTAACTGTCAGACATGGTGGTGTAGAGGAGATGTATTAACTGTCAGACATGGTGGTGTAGAGGAGATGTATTAACTGTCAGACATGGTGGTGTAGAGGAGATGTATTAACTGTCAGACATGGTGGTGTAGAGGAGATGTATTAACTGTCAGACATGGTGGTAGAGAGGAGATGTATTAACTGTCAGACATGGTGGTGTAGAGGAGATGTATTAACTGTCAGACATGGTGGTGTAGAGGAGATGTATTAACTGTCAGACATGGTGGTGTAGAGGAGATGTATTAACTGTCAGACATGGTGGTGTAGAGGAGATGTATTAACTGTCAGACATGGTGGTGTAGAGGAGATGTATTAACTGTCAGACATGGTGGTGTAGAGGAGATGTATTAACTGTCAGACATGGTGGTGTAGAGAGGAGATGTATTAACTGTCAGACATGGTGGTGTAGAGGAGATGTATTAACTGTCAGACATGGTGGACATGGTGGTGTAGAGGAGATGTATTAATGATGTATTAACTGTCAGACATGGTGGTGGAGAGAGGAGATGTATTAACTGTCAGACATGGTGGTGTAGAGGAGATGTATTAACTGTCAGACATGGTGGTGGAGAGATGGAGATGTATTAATGTAACTGTCAGACATGGTGGTGTAGAGGAGATGTATTAACTGTCAGACATGGTGGTGTAGAGATGTATTAACTGTCAGACATGGTGGTGTAGAGGAGATGTATTAACTGTCAGACATGGTGGTGTAGAGGAGATGTATTAACTGTCAGACATGGTGGGTGTAGAGGAGATGTATTATTAACTGTCAGACATGGTGGTGTAGAGAGGAGATGTATTAACTGTCAGACATGGTGGTGTAGAGGAGATGTATTAACTGTCAGACATGGTGGTGTAGAGGAGATGTATTAACTGTCAGACATGGTGGTGGTAGAGGAGATGTATTAACTGTCAGACATGGTGGTGTAGAGGAGATGTATTAACTGTCAGACATGGTGGTGTAGAGGAGATGTATTAACTGTCAGACATGGTGGTGTGAGAGGAGATGTATTAACTGTCAGACATGGTGGTGTAGAGGAGATGTATTAACTGTCAGACATGGTGGTGTGAGAGAGGAGATGTATTAACTGTCAGACATGGTGGTGTAGAGGAGATGTATTAACTGTCAGACATGGTGGTGTAGAGGAGATGTATTAACTGTCAGACATGGTGTATTAACTGTCAGACATGGTGGTGGAGATGTATTAACTGTCAGACATGGTGGTGTAGAGGAGATGTATTAACTGTCAGACATGGTGGTGTAGAGGAGATGTATTAACTGTCAGACATGGTGGTGTAGAGGAGATGTATTAACTGTCAGACATGGTGGTGTAGAGGAGATGTATTAACTGTCAGACATGGTGGTGTAGAGAGATGTATTAACTGTCAGACATGGTGGTGAGAGAGAGATGTATTAACTGTCAGACATGGTGGTGTGTAGAGGAGATGTATTAACTGTCAGACATGGTGGTGTAGAGGAGATGTATTAACTGTCAGACATGGTGGTGGAGAGATGTATTAACTGTCAGACATGGTGGTGTAGAGGAGATGTATTAACTGTCAGACATGGTGGTGTAGAGGAGATGTATTAACTGTCAGACATGGTGGTGTAGAGGAGATGTATTAACTGTCAGACATGGTGGTGTAGAGGAGATGTATTAACTGTCAGACATGGTGGTGTAGAGGAGATGTATTAACTGTCAGACATGGTGGTGTAGAGGAGATGTATTAACTGTCAGACATGGTGGTGGTGGAGAGGAGATGTATTAACTGTCAGACATGGTGGTGAAGAGGAGATGTATTAACTGTCAGACATGGTGGTGTAGAGAGATGTATTAACTGTCAGACATGGTGGTGTAGAGGAGATGTATTAACTGTCAGACATGGTGGTGGTGAGGAGATGTATTAACTGTCAGACATGGTGGTGTAGAGGAGATGTATTAACTGTCAGACATGGTGGTGTAGAGGAGATGTATTAACTGTCAGACATGGTGTGTAGAGATATATTAACTGTCAGACATGGTGGTGAGAGGAGATGTATTAACTGTCAGACATGGTGGTGTAGAGGAGATGTATTAACTGTCAGACATGTGTGTAGAGTGTCAGACAGGAGATATATTAACTGTCAGACATGGTGGTGTAGAGGAGATGTATTAACTGTCAGACATGGTGGTGTAGAGGAGATGTATTAACTGTCAGACATGGTGGTGTAGAGGAGATGTATTAACTGTCAGACATGGTGGTGTAGAGGAGATGTATTAACTGTCAGAGATGGTGGTGGAGAGGAGATGTATTAACTGTCAGACATGGTGGTGGAGAGGAGATGTATTAACTGTCAGACATGGTGGTGTAGAGGAGAGATGTATTAACTGTCAGACATGGTGGTGTAGAGGAGATGTAGGAGATGGTATTAACTAACTGTCAGACATGGTGGTGTAGAGGAGATGTATTAACTGTCAGACATGGTGGTGTAGAGGAGATGTATTAACTGTCAGACATGGTGGTGGTGTAGAGGAGATGTATTAACTGTCAGACATGGTGGTGGAGAGGAGATGTATTAACTGTCAGACATGGTGGTGTAGAGGAGATGTATTAACTGTCAGACATGGTGGTGGAGAGGAGATGTATTAACTGTCAGACATGGTGGTGTAGAGGAGATGTATTAACTGTCAGACATGGTGGTGAGAGGAGATGTATTAACTGTCAGACATGGTGGTGTAGAGGAGATGTATTAACTGTCAGACATGGTGGTGTAGAGGAGATGTATTAACTGTCAGACATGGTGGTGTGGAGATGTATTAACTGTCAGACATGGTGGTGTAGAGGAGATGTATTAACTGTCAGACATGGTGGTGGAGAGGAGATGTATTAACTGTCAGACATGGTGGTGTAGAGGAGATGTATTAACTGTCAGACATGGTGGTGTAGAGGAGATGTATTAACTGTCAGACATGGTGGTGTAGAGATGTATTAACTGTCAGACATGGTGGTGTGGAGATGTATTAACTGTCAGACATGGTGGTGTAGAGGAGATGTATTAACTGTCAGACATGGTGGTGTAGAGGAGATGTATTAACTGTCAGACATGGTGGTGTAGAGATGTATTAACTGTCAGACATGGTGGTGTAGAGGAGATGTATTAACTGTCAGACATGGTGGTGGAGAGGAGATGTATTAACTGTCAGACATGGTGGTGTAGAGGAGGAGATGTATTAAGATGTATTCAGACATGGTGGTGTAGAGGAGATGTATTAACTGTCAGACATGGTGGTGTAGAGGAGATGTATTAACTGTCAGACATGGTGGTGTAGAGGAGATGTATTAACTGTCAGACATGGTGGTGTAGAGGAGATGTATTAACTGTCAGACATGGTGGTGTAGAGGAGATGTATTAACTGTCAGACATGGTGGTGTAGAGGAGAT